GTAAAGCAATAAAAATTTAACAAAACTGGCGAAAATCGACGGAAGTTCGGCGACTTACGAAGATTTAGGAAACATTGATTTGTACAGGGTACTGCATTTTGGATGTCCGAATAGGGAATCTCCGAAACTAAGAGGTTTAGCCAAAAACGAGTAATACATTCTGGGGCTAATTTTTTGAGAAAATAATATTGGTTAAAACCGCATACCGCTATCGTCTTTTGTTTTCGACTTATAGACAAAAATTGACATTTTAGCAAACCTAAAAAAAATCATATCTTTGTTATTATAGAAGACACATATTTGAAATAAAGACATTATACAGGCACTTTTTTACGTATAATTTAATAATGTAGTTAACAAATTTTTACAGTTGTTTGTTTAGCCGTAATAAAATAAACTTGTATTTTTTTAAATGAGAATCATAGATGGCTATGTCATTTTTAAAAAGCTTGTTTTTTTCTTATCTAAAAAATATATATTTGTAACAAATTATTATAATACATTTTTAGCAAAAAATTATCTTTGATTTTTGTTCGCAGTTGGCCATGAAAAAATGTTGCATCTTCAACTAAAAGGATTTAAACTATATTATTCAACCAGTGTCACTAATGAAAGAGATTTCTAAGTACTAAGTAAGGAAAAAACTGCAAAATAAATCGTAAATCAACTTATTGGCGACTAATAACATTTCTTTGTTTTTAAACAAGCTACCATTGCCATTGTAACTTTTAGTGATACATAAAGTGTTGTAAAAAAAAGTCGCTTTAATTCTTCGATAAAATATATTTTATATGACACAAAAATGACGATATGGCTATTCAAATACCCAAATTCCGTCTATGTGGAACGTTACCCTACCTCCATTAGATCACCAAAAAGATGTTTTTTCTAATTGTGTTGACTGTTGACGCATTTGTTTTTCCTATTTTTGGATTTTTTAAAAAATATGTAATAATTTTATTCTGAGGCGCTCGCATATTTGTTCAATACTTCTAACGTATCGTATTTTTTAAATTTTCATGATTTTATGTATTTTTTCATCTATTTTACAGTTCACAAAACTCTTATTGATTATTATTTACACATTTGGAGTGAAATAGTTTTTCCATGGCCAACTATTATCAAACAAAATATGTATTTAATTTTTTAAGTATAATTATAAAAAAATATTCTGTTACAAATATATATTTTTAGATCAGAAAAAGATAAGCTTTTCAAAATTGCCATAGCTATGATTTCCATTTAAAAAATACAAATTTATCTTATCACGGCTAAACCAATAACTGAAAAAAATTGTTAACTACATTATTAAATTCCTCGTAAAAAAGTGCATGTATAATGTCTTTATTTGAATTCCGTATCTTCTATAACAACGAAGATATGAATTTTTTTAGATTTCGCCAAAATGTCAACTTTTTTCTGTAAGTCAAAAACAAAAGACGATAGCGGGATGCGGTTTTCACCAATGTTATTTTTTTTTAAATGAACCCCAGAATGTATCACTCGTTTTTGGCTAAACATCTTAGTTTCGGAGATTCCCTATTCGGACATCCAAAATGCAGCACCCTGTACATACTCCGCGTTAAAAAAAAAAAAAAATAGAGTAGAAAAAAATTCTACAGTTGCCTGAGAATCTGGGCTGGAAAATTTCGTCTTGTACAGCAATACAAATTTTCTGCTCTAAAGTGATCATTATTTCACTCAAAAAAAAAAAAAAACGCAAACTTGTCAAAGTTTCCCCTGACATTTGATGTCAAAAATCAGGATTGCCATCTGAAGGACTTTAATCACCGCCTACTCTAATTTATTATTTTTTTGATCGCACGGTACAATTGAAACGAAACATCATTTTGTATGCCCATTCAACTTCAGCAAAATTAAAATTCCCGGAGCTGGGTGACGTGCCAATTTATTTTCTTGATAAAGAGGGAGCAATTTTGAAAGAAGACGCTATTTTAGAGTTTTAAAAGAAACTTCGAGTACTAGTGAATCGTCGGTTTTACTATAAGTTAAATCTTAAAATCAATCTATTTTAATATTATACCGGTAGATGTATTTCTCTGTTTAAATCCAGAAGCAATATTTGAAGAAATCGCATACCAAACAGATGCAACCCAGTTCTAGAACAGGAAAGTCCTTTACGCCCACGAATTCCAACGAAATCAAAATATTTTTTGCATTAAATACAGGGTGTCCCACGTGTAATAATGAGCCTGAAAAAATTTTTTTAAGCAACCAACATTACATTTCGAAGATAACGTAGATATTAAAATATTTGGTTTTAATAAATTATACATAGTGGTGGCGTCAGTAAATCTTCAATTAACAGAATTTTAAAATCCAACAAATTTCACCCTTACCATATTACCCTGGTGCAAAAATTTAAAGAAACGGATTACCAAAAGAGATTGGATTTCTGCCAATTTTTCCGTCGTCAAAGTAATTTGATAGATTTTTGAACAACGTGCTCTTCAGTCACGAAGCGACATTTAGTAATAACGACGGGGTTAATAGGCAAAATAGCCATTACTATGCGCAGAATAATCCTCGATGGATTAGAGAAGGACACTTTCTGGCAATTATTTCAACAAACGTTTGGTGTGGAATTTTAAGGACCAAGATAATCGGGCCTTATTTTTTTCGAGAGAAACTAACAGGTCATACTTATTTAAATTTTTTACGAAACATATTCTGATTTTCATATATTTTATTCCTAATTCTAATTGGAGGTATACTTCCACATTATTAGAAGATGTAGACTTAGGCACGAGACAGGAAATGTGGTTTCAAGAAGACGATACATAGGAAGATCTTTACTAAGACAATCCATGCCAAATAAACCCATCAAGAGAGAATACAAAGTCTAGGTGCGTGCGTCAAAAGATGGATATACCGGGTATCCCAGGCAGGCTGGGATATAAGAAATTAACATGGGAAATGTTTTTTTATTTTTTTTCCGGCTGCAAGAGTAACAGAAATCAAAATCTGATTGAGGGGCTTGTAGTACTCGAAAAGGGGTATCTTATCGACATTTTTGTCCATTTTCCAATTAACTCCATTTAGGCGAAAACGGCCCTCGAAAAATCGAAATTTGAATTTGCCGGGACAGCGTTACTAAGAAACGAACTTTACTAAGTAAAGTTGGCTCATCAGATAAATATACTTAATATGTATTATTATTATCTATTATTCTTATTATTTACAAATAACTTGTCCCGCTTTCTGTTTTTCAAAATCTGGCAACCCTAGAGGGGGGTGTTGCAGCTTTGCCTGCCTACCCAGTTTTAATGATCACGAGCCGCCACTGATCATCATTATCGTCACTTTGAAAATTAATGAACTAAACAATTACATACCTTTGATGGAGGGTTTCTACTCGCCCTTGTGGTTGATGATTCGACCTGTGATGGTTCTCTCACTAATCCCCGAAAGATGTTTTTTCGTGAAACGAACAACGAATGTAGGTTATAACACCGAAAACAATCGCGTAATCACTATTGTCTCTTCTCAGGCAATTTTGAATCCCGCATTAACGGATGAAATTGGATACGATTTTAACTGCCTCGCCATCGATAATGGATGAAATACCAAAATACAAATCATATGTAGAAGACACGCGCGTACAAGACCGTGTGTTGCTGTTGACAACAAAAATTTTAGGTTAGGTGGTTGCAACTCGTACTAAATTATGCAACCAATGATACACTACAGTAGTACCATGAAAAAAGGGTTTTTCTTGGTACTAAATTTGCCATTGGGAGGGATCCAGTACAACACAAAATTGTTTTATGTTTAAAGAAAGTTTAAATTTGTCACCTATTTGACTGTAATAATTATTTATGTACCAAGAGCATTATTAGATGTTTATGGCCTCTCTTCTCAGGGCGACAAGTTTTTAATTCGCCCAGGAAAATTTTTTTTGGAAGAAACAGCAAATTTTGGAATATGATCTGAATATTGGGCACTTGGTGATTCAAATCGCCAAAAATCAATGCTGTGCTTTTTAGTTACAGAAAAATGTATTGAAAGAAGACAAACGTTTAGTAGATTAGAAGACCTCGTATTTATACCTTACCAAGCGCCGACCGAAAAAACCTCCAACTTTGCCTAAAAAAAAAAATGTAGTGAATTTAATAGTTCGTTTCAAGTAATTGACCTGGCACTGAAAAACAAAGGAGAAGGTGGTGTTTATCTCGGTATTGATAAAAGTCTTTGAGCAAAAAGCCAAAAAATGCAACCACCCAAGAATAAAATAAGGATTGTGTTAGGAAACATATTTAAGGTTTTTCTAAAATGGAGCCGGAAAGTTTGAGTTTGTTTCTACATTTTTTTATAAAAATGTTTGTTGAAATAAATTTGTGTTTTTATTGCGACATGTAGCAAATTAAGTAGTATGTAATTATAATAATAAATAATAATAATACATTGCTACCCAACCCTGGTTAGGATGTCGACCATTTCCGATATTAAGAAAAATAAATCAAAAATAGAGAGGGTTGTTGGGAATTGTTACTAGCAAATCCCGTCTCGGAAAACATTGCAACAGAGTACCCAAAGATGAAAAAACAGTTGTTTAACAGGTTTTCTAGACATATTCCCGTTTCTTTCGCCATTTTCGCTGCCATGGCAAAAAAATCTCTGCAGAAGTTTATGGCAAAGACGATTTTGTAGCAAGTAGAAGATGGTTGACAAAATTTAAATCTAGACATACTGTTTGAAACAACAAGAAAAATTGTCAAGTAATCAACCTGCAGTTTCAACTTTTTTAAAATTACAAAACAAAATAACTAATACGTTCAACCCGATTGTACACCTTGCTGTCTTTTTTAAACAGTGATTCATAAGCAATAATTTATTTTTCAATTGACATTTTGTTTTTTACAAGAAGTTAGTTAACGTTGGTAATAAAATTTATCAAATATTGTCAAATACCAATTTTGCGAAACCATTTCAGCGATATCAGTTATTTAAAGCAAGAGGTTTAAATCAAAATTCCAAAAAACTTGTTAGAATTTATTTTATAAAAGCTGCACATTAACTTAGTTAACAATAATTTAATAATACAGTGTGTGTTGGAGCGTTAATGCATCACTAAAATACCAATAAAAACCCTTTGTCATTTAATGAGTTTGGTAAAATTTTCGCACTCTTTCTGACACTTTTGACAATTCATTATCGAGTTCCTGCAACAAAAAATTGTGCCAAAATGAATAAATTTCACCACTTCTTACTTAATTATTTTCAGTAAATTATCGGCTTCTAACGTCTTCGAATGCAACGAATCCTGCAACGAGTCTATAGTCGCGTCTTTTTCCCTCAATTGTACTTTTAAATCATTAATTGTCTCTTCCAACGCTTCAAAAATTGCCTAAAAAACAATTACAACATTTAAGAGTCACACATAAATATAATTGACCTACTCTAGATTCCTCATTAGTCTCAGAATAAATCGGAGGTTCATTCAGACAAAAGAAATCTTGTATTTCCTGTGTCGTAATCAGTGATGGTTCAGCGAGTATTGCATTAACCAAAGTTTGCAAACCACTGACTCTTTCCTCAAGAAATATGGGATCAAAATTGTTTTTCAACCACCGTTTTCGCGGAAGGAGTTGAACGATGTGGGGGTGGGAACTGCGTATTCTATTGCACAGCCTTACAAAGTCGGTGTAACGCCGGAAAACGTACCAACAGTCGCCAGTTATTTTATTTTCAATTCTTAACTTGTAAACCTAAAAAAAATTCTTTACTTGAAAATCGGAAAATAATTTAAATTACAGTAAACCGCGCCCTTTCTTCCATAATCTCGTACCCAACAATCGGAATTTGTATATTAGTAAAATTGTCACCGTTACATGAAAAAAAATTGGCGTTTTCTTCAGGAATCGAATTTTCTTCAACCAAAGTTGAATTGGAATCATTGGAAGTCGTGGAATATTGGAAGTTACGATACCTGCACGAAAATTAGACTTCAATTAATGTTTCAAAACACAATTTACTTACCTCAAAGGCTCGGATAAATAATCCTCAGAGTCAGTTGTGATAGCCTCCTCGGCTGTCTCACAATCCCCAGTTTCATTATTATTGCTTTGAAGGGGGTGCACCATCTCTTGTACTTTAAGTTGACTCAACTGTTCCGTAATCTCAGATTTCTGCTGATCCATTGTTTAAAAATAGTCACAAATATAACAAATCATAACCTTAAAACCTGCCACAATTAATTAACACCAGTTAACTGTACAAAACCAAGTCACTCATTATGAAACAATTCAAATGGAACTTAATTAAGTATTTAGAGCACAAACGTAAATAATGGAGACAACAAACATGACATTTGAATGACTTAACCTTAAAAAAAAACAGCTGTTATTGCAAATTGAGGTTAAGTAAGGGGCGGTGTTTGATGACACTTAAGCCAAATTCAAGAATTAAAAACAGACAATTTATTCAAAAATAATAGAAAAACAAGTCTTACAACACATGAATTTTAGTACAATTTGGTGTCCCGTTACTTCACTTTTTGGTGGTTCCTGAACTGTTCGGTTATACTCACTTGAAGCACTTGCAGGGTATTTGATTTCACACAATTCCGTATTTTTTCGAAAAATCGTAAATAATGGTACACATTGTGTCTAAAAAAATTGTAATTAAGGCCTGAAACTAGCTAAAACTTGGCAACGCTGGAATGACAGGTAAAGTACCCACATAAAAACTTAATTTAATTTACTTTACAATTCAATTAATTATTAGGAGTCTTAAATAATCAAAATATTTATATCCAGTTCGTTATTCGTGCCTAAAACCAGACATAACCCATCTAGTCGTCCAGCGTTGCCGGTTTTATTTCTAATCAAAATATTTACATCATTACGAGGATTGGCCCCAGAAGCTCATGAACTGATAACAAGTGGTGTATATACGCCCTTGAATATTTAGTACAAGTCGTGCAATTACAACCAGTTAAAATCGGCTGAAAGTCGTCTAAATATCTAAAAAAATCTATTACTGTTTTGAATCAAAAAATTTAAAAAAATACTTTGCGTCTCTTAGATTTATTTCATAAGTGTCTGTCTGATCTGTTGGTTCTATTGCAAAAGTCATCGCTGCTGACCTTTCTGTGAGAATATGACAATATGAGGAATCAAACAAGTCAACCCCCATTTCCACCAAATTGATAACATTTACTGGGTTCCAACAGCCTTGAATAACGCGTAACTTATCAGTGGGTAGTTTATTCTGAAAAAATATACAAAATTCAAAATTATTCGGTCAAAACGAGGATTTTAAGTACCAAAATACCCCTCACGACGGGTTCAATCTCAGCAAATTCCAAAAATTCGGCTTCGGGACCGTTATTATGAAGTCCATCTATTAAAAACCCACCTACATCTTTGACGTCTCCTAGTATAGATTTGATAAACTTTTCCCTAGCTAAGTGTTTATAACCCCCTACTACAGGTGCAATGACGAACGACTTGGCTAAACTTTCTGATTTTCGATGTCTCTCCAAACACTCCTTGTAGAAACTGACTGTATTATTGACTGATTTTGAAATGCGTTTTTCAGAACTGCTGATATTGGTGTCTCCATCAGAGAGCAAGAAATAAATGTCAGGCTTGAAAGACTCCACCACATCCATGTAACTCTTCGCGTCGTAATATACCTTGCCGTTTTTGGTCCATATGGGGACTTTCAACGTGGAATTGTGCCCCTGCTTGGTGATATTACAAGGGTCTTGAAGCGTCAGACAAGTCAGGCTGTCTTTACAACCAATAAAATTCGAAATGGTCCCTTCGTAATACTGCATCGCTTCTTTAAATGTGTGCATCCCTGCTAAGGGGATCTGCAAGATCTGGGGGTCCCTACTGACCAGTTTGAACACTTCATGTGTGATGTGGGGGATTTGACCGCCCTGAATTACAATTTTAACAAAAATTTGTCTACTTAGAGACTCACCTGTGTGTGGAGCATCACAGCTGGAGTCTTTATACAGACAGAAGGCTTCGCATCGATCTCTGAAAGAGTCCCCAAACGTTGGGCACACTTTGAGACAGATTCCACGTAAAATTTCATCGTTAATTTATACTAAACACACTCGAAAAATGTGGAAAAGCAGTTTATATAACTAAAATCACTTCCAGAATTATTTTTTGACAAATAAAGTAAACATGACATTCAAAAATCCGAAAAAAAGTGAGCACATGACGGCCTAACCTCACTTTTCCATGTTTCGCCATCAACAAAAAGAATAGTTGACAAGACGTAAATTCACTTTCATTTAAATAACTAACACGCACCAAACATGATTTAATTCACAAAAATAGTGAAACTTCACCGGTTTTTAAATAAATAAATTTTGGATTTTGGGTGTTTTGTAGTTCTTTCTTGTTTTTTGTGTGGCAACAAGCAATAAGCCGACATTTATACTAACCCATTACAGTATTGTTCAAAGTACAAAATAAAACAACCTAAATCAACATTGTAAATTTTAAGTTTTAGTTTAGTTTATTGCCATTAAATACGGTTTATTCGAAAATGTAATTAATGTTTTGATAAGTGATAGGTAATAGATCAAAGAAAATGTAAAAACAATAATACTGCAATTTTAGGTCTTCTGCACATTATGCTTCTGTTTGTGTTTATGTTTATTTTAATCTGTCAATCAGTGCTTTAGTAGTGTATTTAGAAATATTTATTTAAAAGTGTTAAAGTTAAAAAACGATGGTTTACATCCACTTTCCTGCAAATTTCACCGAGGAGGAGCTCATGCTCCAAGCCAAATACCAAAAACTCAAGAAAAAGGTAAGTGGAACACTTTAATCAACCCATGTTAACCTCTCCTCAGAAAAAGGCTCTGCAAGCCCTTAAAGCCCCAAAACCCGAGCCCGAGAAACCCATCACGCCCAAACGGCCGGCGGAAGCTCGAGATGCCCGCGAAGTCGCTAAGAAACTCATCAAATCCGGTGCCATTCCGGCCATTTCTAAACAACAAAAGCAGCCTGAACAGGGCTTCAAACGGCCCCGAGGATTGGAAAGGAAATTGATTTCGGATAAAATTGTGAGCGGGTACCAACCCTTCTCAGCCGTGCAGATGGATGATGGGCCTGATAACCCCGAAAATAAGCCGCCGAGGATTAAGAATTTGTACGACACTTTTGCCAATGCTCGCGATCGCGAAGAGAGGGGCTTGACGGAGAAACAGAGGGAGAAGCCGGATAAGCCGAGGCAGGGGAATACGATTTACGTGTCGGGGTATAAGATTACGGAGGAGTTTTTAAAAAAGCACTTTTCAACGATTGGGAATATTGTGAATATTTCAATGGAGATTGAAAAAAAGTATAGGGGGTACATATTTGTGTGCGAGATTTTACAAGTTTGGGTTTCAGTCGCGGGTTTGTCACTTTTGATAAGGTGGAAGCCGCGGAACGGGCCATAGCTGAGGTAAGTTTTTTTTTTCTTGTTGCAAATTTACAAAGCAAATAAATAATTAAAAGATGGATGGGAGTATGGTGTCCGGGATTCAACTCAAAGTCACTCTAGCGAGGCGACAGCCCCAAATAGAGCCTATAAATGACGCGTCATCGAGCGCAGCGTGGGCTACTCTAGGTATAAACAAAATAAAATTCGAATTAAACTTGATTTAACATTTTTATAGCTTCGAGTCATTCTCAAAAAGGTAATCACAGGGATAAGAGAAATCTAGTGTCGTATGATGATATGTTTGACTAATTTTACGTAAGGTGATTTATTAAGAAAAAACCCTCTTATTTATAATAGTATTAACAATAAAAAATTAAGTAATAGTTTGACTAAAAATTTATTTACATAACAAATCGACTTAAAAACCCCTTACATGTCCCTCGGCGGATTGAAAAACTCCCAGTGATGATGATGCACCGTTTTCCCATCACCCGCTAATAAAATCAATCCCGCAATTAAAACCAACAAAATCACCATCATTACATGCAAATCTTGCTGCCCGTCCGCATTTCTTATCAAATCATCCCTAATATGCGCAATCAGTCTTTTAATCGAGCAGTTGGCGGCCGCTCCGCACGCCCTGACCAACTGTCCCGTCAGCTGGGATATGGAGGGCTCAGGCGACCTAACCCGCCGCCTCGCTGGGGGCGGCGTCTCGTCCGAACTCGACCTAGAAACGGGGGTTTTGCGATGACGCCGTCGTCGAGGCGCCATGGGAATGTCCTCGTCCACGAATTGCTGCGCTCGCAGAGCATAGAAACTCGCGGGGGGCTGCGAAGGGACGTAGATGGGGTCGGGAGGTCGCGGGGGTGGCGTGTCCTCGATCGAGGCGCTTCTCACTGGGGGCTCCGGGGGGCGCTCTGAAACGGTAAGTGGGTCAGTCGGGGAATCAGCGACTGAAATGTTAGGGGGGTCATCTAGAACTAGTGATGATTTTCGGGGGGGTCGCTGGGGGGGAACGTCAGTTACTTGTTCAATCGGAGTTTTTTTTTGCCCGGAGGAAGCTTCCGATGGGGGCTCCGGGTGAGTGGTTCCACTAGCCGATTCCAAATTTTCGGTTTCTGGTTGTGGTACCACTGACTGAAGTTTTTCAAGGAGTTGTTGGACGAGGCTTGGGGGTAACTCGATTTCGCCCACTTTAAGGGCTCCGGATTTCGAACTGAGTTCATTTGTTTGGATGCTTCCACTGTCGATTTCTGAAACTACAATTCTGCTTGCTAAAAGCTCGTTCACATTTAGTCTATCGACGTCCAAATCGCTGACTTGTAGTTTTTGAGCTTTTAAAACTTCAACTTCAGTGTTTGAATCAGGTTGAATCATGACAGGTCGTTCTATTATTTTTTCGACGATTGTCGGTTGATTTTCAACTGTCACAGGCGGAGGATCCTTCAATTTAGTAAATTCTTCCGGTATTTCTGAAGTTTCTTCATCTTCTTCTTCAACCGGAATTGTCCTTTCTTTTGGTTTTTCGATCCGAGTAAATTCATGGTCAGGTAGAATTTTAGCCCCATTCAAAGGTTCCACAACCAATGTACCATGAGTGATGGTTTCTTCTTCATAAGTATAGTTCGTTGGAGTTATCAGCTGCTTCTTAGTGATAACAGTTTCCGGCTTTGGCATCGTTTCCGGTTCACAAACTTCTTCAGTTTGGGTCGAAACTTCTGTTTCGTCGACAACTTCCCCTTTTTCCCCACTCTCCTCTTCTGCAACATTCTCTTGACTTGTGATATCTTGCAAAGGCTTACTTAGTTTATTTCTGGGGGGCCTTGGGGGCGCCGGCAAAGGCCGGTCTTTCATCTTCTGAATCACCTTTCCCGAGTGTAAATCCCTATTGGGTTCATCATCAATTTCAATGTATTGCGTTATGTCAATATTTTCCTTTTCTTCATCAGTCATATTTGGGACTGGATGTTTCCGTCTCGGGGGTCTACTCGGCCCCAATGTACTGTAATTTCTCAAGGGACGTACCGGTGGTTCCTCCGAGACGGGTCTTGGTACCGTGAAAAACTTTTGTTCGGATTGGATCGACCGTTTCCGGCGTGGTGGTGTCTTCGGTGGTGGTAGAGGTGGTTCCCGTTTGTTATTCTTGTCAACGATGGCATATCCCATGTAGTCCCGGAAATCCTGGACACACGTTTCTTCAACGCAAGGTTGTTCTTCAGTAAGGGATTCGGCCCGGGAACGTGTCCGGGAGCGGGATCTCGCTGGTCTTGCTGGGGGTTCGTCTTGAATTGATTTGGAGCTGGAGCGAGAGAGGGTTCGTGATGGCCGGATTGGGGGTTCCTCCGGGGTTGGGATTATGTACTCGTGTTCGGTCTTGTAGACTTCAGTCTAGAAAAAATCGTGATTAAAATTCTTACAATTTTTACCAACTTACATCCTGGTCCGGGTTAAAATCCCCAAGAATCGACTCGTGTTCCGAGTAATTCAGACTTTTCAAACTCCGGTGTTTTCGTGGCGGAGCCATTGGTTTCTCCTCGTCTTTAAACTCCTCATCTTCACTGTCATATCCGGTGTAGGGGTCATTGATCTTAATTTCCGGTTGTTCCTTCCCTTCCATTTGCTCATTCTCGTACATGACTCTATCTTCGTCTTCATCTGGAATACCAACTTCCGGAACTTCAACAGCTATGGTCTCTTGATACGGAATAACTTCTTCTTTTTTCTTACTCCTCCTGCTTCTTCTTTTTGGTCTTGAGGGCGGAATTTCAAGCTCAAGTTCCGAATCTTGATCGAAGGATAATTGTTCTTGTGACACATGAGGAGTTTTCTTTCTTTTGGGTTTTTTCACGACTTTTCGTTTTGAAGGTGTTTCCGGGAGTGATGTATTGGAAGCACGAGTTTCATACGAGTAAGGTTCGTTTTGTAAGTCATTTAACGCGTTATTAGGGGATTTGAAAGCTTCCCGGATTTCGGAACTTAGATACATCCCGACTTCGATATTATCTTGGGAAATACCCTTTTGTCGGAGGAAAAACTCGTCCGAATCGATTTCTTCCAGGACTCCGCGGCGATGTATTCCTAGAGAACTCTCCGAGGAATGGATGTCTTTACTCGTGTTTGTGTCAAAGCTCTCATGGGGTTGTGGTTTGTCAATGGGTGAGTCTAGATCAGTGACTTGTTGGTTGGGTTCCGGATGGAAGCTCCCATGGTCCCATCGGCTGTTATAATTGTGACTGAAGGGTGAAGCGCAGTGTATTTCTTGGTTTTCCTTCTCGTAGGCATCGTCAATATCGATATCTTGGTCGTATCTGATATGAGACGCCATGTCTTCGCTTTCTTCCATCGAATCTTCCGAATGGAGAGGAATTCGGATGGAGTCTCTGCCACCCCATCTATCATCACTTTCTTGCTTTCGTTTCGTCCGGGGAACCGTCGCAAATTCACTTACTTCCCGTTCATTTTTCGCAAACGAATCGAAATCGTCTTTAGGTTTTTTCTTGAAAAGTCTAGGATATGTCCGAAAATCGAAATAATTTGTCTTGGAATCACCCGCATTTGATTCCGTCGAGTATTGTCGTTGTTTCAGAGACCGTTTTCTGCGTGGCAAACTGAACGAAGGTAGATTGACTTTCGCCGAATCCGGAATTTTTGGTAAGTTAAATTTAGGTTTTTCGAATTTGAAATTGGGTTTTTTCAAGTGTGGTTTTGGAGGCAGCTTGATCTCGTGTAATTTTGTTTTGAATTTGTCTGTCTGTGTTTTGAAGGCTTGTTGGAGTTTGCTCGGACCTTCCGATTTCGGTTTTGTTGGTTTTTGGGTGACTGTGACTGTGTGTACTGTTGTTTCCTGTTTCACTGGTGTTTTGCTAAAGTATTTGGTTTCAATTTCGGTTTGGATTTCTTGGACTGTGTAATCGGGTATTGTGGGTTCGGGTGGTTCGGAACCTAACATTCGGCGGTCTAGAGATGTTGTGCTACTGGCCAGACTTATTGGTTTTGGTTGAAGGTTCTGCTCCGAATCGATTACGTGAACGGTGGGAGGTGCTACCGATGGGATGTCGGGTGGTGGATTCACAGGTTCGTACTCGTGATCACTAAAAATAAAATAAAAAAACTGAAATCTGCATTAAACGGTTTGTTTTTGTCTAGCCTAGTTTTCTGTACTTTTCTGTCTTTAGCGATATTTTTAATACGAGTATTGGTATTTACAATCTAAAAATTAAAATAAGTTTTCAACCTCATCAGTACGTTGTTTTCTGGGTTAAAAACTAATAATTTTTCATGAAAACATCTCTCCACTCTTCATGTTTTTGTTTTTATATACAGGCTGTCATACACAGACTGGATTATAAAAAACGCCCCATGCCATAACTCCATTTTTTTTAAAGATATGGTAATACTTCTTAGAGCAAAGTTTTTATCTATTGTTTGAGATAGATGCTTCATCAATGATACTTCCTGTTCCACCGATACTGGCATCAATTTCAACTTTTGCTTTTAGGCAATTTAAAAATTAAATACAGTACTATGCTGTGGAAAGAATCGAACATTTTTATTCATTTTATCTAAGACAAGCAACAAAAATGTGTTTAACTTTGATCAAAGAATTTTGACATTAATTTGATGGTTCTAGAAACCACCGGAGTACTGTCCTTTTGAATCACACTGTATAAAGTTCGTTTTTTTTTCAAATCTATTATAGGTACAAATAGGTATATCGTACAGTGGGAAGATATATTGTGATATTCTAAATAAAATGCACTCATAAAACTAGAAAAGAACACATCATATTCTCGTATTCATACTTTGAACTGAATTTTGAGATGGAGTTGGTTTTACGTTTCTGTCTCTTGTTTATAGAGTATTTTAAATATTGCCTTTTTAATTGTATAATACCCTAGCTATTAAGACAACAAAAGTTTTAAACTATAAAACTCCTGTTGTCTTCAAATTTTTTTCGAACACTAATATATTGAGAGATCAAGATAATTTGTAATTGATTCATCTTTGGATCCAAAAACGTATGTCTGTTTTTGCACTAATGTCAAATAAAATGACAAGTCGAAAGGTAAAACGGCAAAATGGACTGGAATTAGTCGCCGACGTTGTAGGACCGTTCTTTTTTGAATGTAAATCATAAATTTAGTTAATAAAATAATCTTTTTAATCATGTCATTTTATCTTTCGAACTTTTTATTTTGATTTGACGTTTCACAGACATACGTTTTCAGATTCAAGGATGACTTGATTACAAATTATCTTGATCTCTCGATATTACTGGATCAAAGAGTAGGTATGTCAAAATTGAGAAAACCAAGATAACCAAGATGAAATAGGGTCTAATTTTCGTAATTTTTAAATTTTTTCTATTATTTTATTTCACATTCGTGCTGTAATATTTGCCTTACCGGACTTATTAGGTAAATTACTATGTAAGTATTTTTTGAAAAAAAAAATGAAATTTTGAACTCAATTAAATATTACTTTCTAAAGTACACAGTGGGAATTTCTTTTCCTTAGATGTATAACCCTTTTCTTGACAATGTATCTTGTAAAATACAAAAATTCAATTTTTTTCTAGCAAACTCAGCCTTCCAAATTCTTTAAAATAGTAATAGTTAGAAACTGTATAATTTTTCTGCACATACATATTTGGGCTAGTCAAAAGGAAATGTCTACAATGTCTATCGTGGAAGACAATTACGCCCTGGGGCTTTTCTCTGTACTTACATAAAATTATACTTTTTTTTTATTAATAGTCGAAGTTGAATTTGAACTTGGTATTGTTAAATACGTTCACTGTTATTTTTCTCTATACAGGGTGTTAAAAAAAGATTGTAAAATATTTAAGGAGGCAATAATATGAATCGAAATAAACAAAAAAGTCTTAATAAACATGGGTCCGCAAAGTAACGGTTTCTTAGATATGGAATGTGAAAATTTTCACTAGAAGCTTCTCTTTTTTGTTTGTACAGATTGCAAATAAATGTTTCCAAAACCGAATAATTTTTGATTTCTCCGAAACAGTTACTTTACGTACCCATGTTTATTAAGACTTTTTTTTGTTTTGGTCCATACTATTAGCTCCTAAAATATTTCTTAACAGTGTATTTCTCATAGTGTATTCATTCATCGAAAACATCTTACCATTGGGTAAGAAACAACTGCTTCTAAGGAGTACCTTCCTCAACTGCTACCTATAAGAGTGATAGGAAAAATAAAGTTGATAGTTTTTAATCTTTTGTTGTAAAAAAAAATAAGTCAGAAAGAAACAAAATGCTCTATCGTCTTAGACACAACTATAGCGTGTTCCTCTTTGCCCTTAAGAGGATTGAAAAGGGTATCAATCAGATTTCAATTCTAGAAATTGAAAAGTTCTTAATGTGTTTAAAAATGAAGGACATTAATTTTAAAAATAAAATGATTCAATGATTTAAAGATAGATATTATGCCCGTTAATAAGGTCACTTGATCCTCACGCAATCTCCACACAATAGAATTCCGTCATCCCATCTCGTGGTAATTTGTCCCAATAATTACCACTTCTGTTCTCAGCCCGCCGCGCTTTGTGCTGTTAAAAATAGCCCTTCCGTCTACATACCCAAATTTCGTGACCATATTGCTGACCCGACTACTGGGCCTCGTGCCCACGGGGTTAATCCTATCGGGCAGCAACGAGTCGCATTGGAAATACTGGCAAGCGCACCTCACATCCAGCGACATGACCGACGATCCCGTCGAGGAGTCCCTCGAGACATCTCTCCGTTTGGCCGTTCGACGCCGGCCCTCGGAGGCCGACCGCACTTGGCCCTCCTGCAGGGATCTCCTGCGCCGCTTCTTGCTGCCGACATAGGTCGGCATCGCCGGCTTGGCCGCTTCCATGGTCTCCTTCCAGTCTTTTATCACGATTTCTATCACATTTTCGGGCGAGAGCGACCCGCTCGGGGATCTGCCGGCCACTGGTTTATTTTTATGACGGCAGCTGGAGCGACGACGACGACCAAGGGGGGCTATTTTTACGCAAGGCTTGAGCGGTTTTTTGGTGGGTATGCGGTCGTGGAGCGAGTGCCAAGTTAACAAGACGACGATGATTATTTTGGGGAAATCTGAGCGACGCTCAAATAGTCTTGTATTGTGTGGAATTTTCAAAAAATTGTTAACTCGGTTTTGTAAAATACACACCACACAACAATTATCGCATCATATACGAGTATGTTTATACATAAAAAATTCGAACTGTAACTTTTTTTTGTTTTATCCTTCCGAGGATAAAATTGCACATATCAACATAAGGAGTTACAGTAGAGTCATTGATTGATTCGCTCTAAAAGGACTGTCGTAAACGTTCTGCAATGTCTTGTGTACAGTCAACAAAAATTAACACGAGTAGTGCATTTTTTTTATTTGACCTTTTTATGTCTCTTTAATGTTACCGATAATTTTGTATACGTTTTTTTTATAATTATTTAATAAAGGTGCAAAAACTTTGTCAATAAAAGCCACAAGTAACTTTAAAAATAGTTACAAGTCAGGATACAGCTTCTGTGTTTCCCCTTCTAATAGCCTGCAGCAAAAAAACATGCAAAATAATTTTTCCAACAATAAATAACGGGTGTTTATTGAAATTTGGCGTCATAGTCGGCGGTGATATGAGTGTGTTCTGAACGGACCACAATTTTTAATACGCCCAGCGAGTTGTCAAATGTCAGATTAGTAACTTTCAATACGATGGTTCGTTCACAATCGAACTTTTATAGATAGTTTTTACGCCAAAAAAACACCTATCAACGTGCGAAATTTAAACCCCCATAGTTCCGAAATTTTTTAAGATAGAATTTTTTTTTAATTTTTTCAATCTTCCTGGTATCTTAACTTACCTACTTGGCATTTTTTTCTGGAGCGCAAGTTTTGAAACAGCCTGTATACCTACTTAAGAGACAAAGTGATGGGATAATTGTGCGATGTGTATTTTTTAATTACAGCAGCACAAGTGATCAATATTTTTGATTTTTTATTATTTTTATATCAAATTCATCCAAATTTGTAAGAAATCTTTCAAGTTAATACTTTTTTTCGATTTAGACTTGGGCCAAAGAATACCAGAAGAGAACGTTTTTCAACACTTTTGTAATCTAAATTCTGAACCATGAGAACCAGATTTTAGGCTTTTGACCACTAAAGAAATACGTAAATTATGGCCTAATAGTGATAATTTTGCTTATTTATCACTATCATACTGTAAAGTTTTTAGTATTTTAGAAAATGTTTTTTTGCAAGAGTCCACGAATGTGCAGATTCCAAATTTCCTAACTTTCTAATGCCTACAAAAAGCTTGCTTTTTATATTAGATTAACTCTGCAATTATGAAAATATAACAATAATATATTTTATACCAGAATAAAAAGAATAGAACCAAACGTTTTTTACTTGAATTATTATTTTTTAAATCAATTGATGAAAATGTGACGTTTTGTCTGAATAACAGTTTTTGTTTATGCTCCCGAAAATAGTTATTTTTTGTATACGCTCCCGAAAACAGCTGTTTTAGGGACTCATTTGAGTCCTTAAAACGAGTCTTTTCCGGACTCAATAAAATAGTACGCAAAACGGTTATTTTAGGTACTCAGTTCCCAAAAACAGTTTTTCCGGATTAAAAAATAAAATTGATTACTTTGGTAATGAATTTTTTTTTAATTAGTATAAGAAGTGTGAATTCGTGTTTTGGAAGTTTTAACAAAAAAATCTTGTATGCACCACGTACGTAAAAGGTTTTAGGTGACTCCTCTCATTAAAGACTCGGCTTCTACGTCGCCTCGTCATTAATTACGATTCATCCCCTAAAACCCTATTTTGCGTACTTGATACATAAATAGCTATTTGTACCCAAAATATAGTTTTTATGGACGAAAAAGAAAATTGGTTACTATGGTGGCGTGGGTATTAAAACGATGATCTAAAATATACCTCTCCAGAGAATGTTGAAGCAGTGAAGCAGCGAAAGAGACTAGAAATAGGCAACATTGGTAAATGTCATGGTAAAAGTATTGGAGTTTTTGCTCCATTTTTGATGAAAGGTAAAACTTTTCCTTGTGTTTTAGGTCCAGTTTCATAATTAAATTTAAAGGAGCTTTAAATTAAATGTTGTTTAGAATGTGCTGATTGCTACGGACTTGTTGACAAAAATTTCACAGTCTAAACCAACATTAATTTTAAAGTCTTTTTAATTTGATTATGAAGCTGGCCCTAAGTCATAAAAGGTCCATTTTTGTAAGGTTTGTGGATAAAACCTTTTTTTAGAAAGACTATGATTTGATGATCTACCTATACTTTATTCTAATTGTATCGTTTTTTTTTTATGTAAGTTGCTATTTTGAGAAAAAACGCAAACTCATAGACAAAATAAAATTTCATTTGTCGCTTGTGTTTTTTTAAATACCTATGTGAAAAAACAATTAAGAAATTTGGACATTTTTGTTGAAAATGTTACAGACACCACCTGCAGCGTTTTTTACATTTTGATCTTCATTCATTTAAATGCTGTAAATATCGTTTTTTATTATTTTTTTAAATATAATAATATTTTGTACAATTCTAGGCTTATTTTTTTTATTTTGATGAATTAGATATTTTAAAATTACGAATCTGTTATAAATAAATAAATACATACATTTTTTGGGAAATTCATGACAACTATTGAAGATAAGTTTTTGTGATGTGAAATTACTTTATTTTAAAAAGAATGAAAATTGCATCTTTAAGATATGTAACAACGTCTTTGGTTTTTTTTCAATTGTTACACGGCACTCTGTATATTAACCGGAGAAACAAAATTCCTGATTTTTGCAGCTCTAATCGATCGTTCTGTCGACCTAATAAAACCCACTTTATCCTCAATATTTTTCTCCATTATTAACAAATCCACTTTAATCAATTTACGACGCCCTCTTAAATATTTTTATAGCCCATCAAACCCAAATTTCTCAAATTTATTACTCTCGAAAAAACAAACACATTCCTTACCTTAATTTTGACCATCTGTTATAATCCTCCTCGAGCGAAGTACTTTTAATAATTTTTTCCTCATCGAGATAACTCTTCTCTTCATCAACCGACATTGACTGATTATTCTCCAATACATCCAACTTTTTCTTTTCTCCAGCCTCGTCCTTTTCAGGCGCTTGAACTTCCTCGTAATCTGTATCTTTTGAATCATCTCTCGATCGTCTTTTAAACGAAACTTTCTTTTTCAAAACCGGAGACTCAGGGGTTTTTAAACTAGACTTCAGTTCGGAAACTTCGGCAACTTCTTTAGCTTTGATGTTCTGCTCCTGCAACGCCATTGCTGATTCGGTCAGTTTCAAACCGTCCTCTTCATCCACCACCATTTTTTCGGACTTTTCTTCTTCGAGTGATTTAGAATCGGCTTCTTCCTCAACCGGTTGCAAGACTTTCTTTTGAGACTCTGGTGAAACTTTCTCCACTGCGTCTTTGGCGAGTTTTTTCAGCTCGGTGAGTCTCGACTCATCGCTTGTTTCAGAAGAGGGAGTCTCGGGGATTTCAGGCTCTTTTAAAACTTCGTCATCCGAAGGTGGCGTCAGGAATATAAACTGGACACCTTCAGTTTTCGGACTTGTAGGACTTTCAACTGAACTTTCTTCAACTTTTGAGGGGTCTTCAACTTTTGGGGGGTCTTCAAGTTGAATTTCTTTCTTCTCCTCAAATTCTAGGTGAGAAAACTCATCGGTATGTCCAGGGGGAGGTTTTAACGGTATATGAATGTATTTAGGTGCACCACTTGATGGTTCTACTTTTTTGACTTCCGGTTTAGTGTCTTTAATTTCTTTAGGTTCAGTTTTTTTCTCTTGTCCTTTCTTCGAACCAGACCGCGATAGTGACAGTTTGGGAAGTTTGAATTCTTTCAGTTTTTGCATTATACTCAATTTTGATAAGCTGCTACTACTGTCAACAGATAAGCGTCTTTTCCGTTCAGGTTCTGCTGATTTGGCCCGAATTTTTCTGCTACCTTGCCTCGAAGGTGATTGTCCTTGACTTGTACTAGATTCTTCTCCAGGCATTATTATTATCATATTTTCACTCTTAGCGTCATCGTCTTGTTGGATAATTAAATAATCGCTTCCTCCTGAAAGTCCATTTTTGTTCGCATGATCCAAGTCTATAGTTTCAGTTTTGAGAATTTCGAAGGCCACGATATCGTCAGGATCTCCACTGAATCTCCTTTCTTCATTAAAACTAGCCTCAATTTCGATTTTTGGTATTTCTTCCTGTGGTTTTTCTTCTATTTTTGGCGGTTCAGGTTTCTTCTCACCGAATTCCAAGTAGGAGAATTCATCCGTTTCTCCCTCGGGTGGTTTCAAGGGAATGTGGATATAAACAGGTTTCAGATTTGGGTCAGGTTTTAAAAGTTTAGACACGTCTTTAGGTTTGGTTTCAGGTTTATTTGTACTTTTTTCAGGAGGTTGTTTTAGGGATTTTGGCAAACTTAGTTTAGGAACTTTAATTTTGTCTTTGGCTTCTTTTAATTTTTTCATAATTGCTAATTTGGACAAACTCTTTCGACTGTAGCTACTGTCTATTGATAGTTTTCTTTTTCGTTTGGGTTCTTCAGATTTGGCTCTCTCTTGTCGTCCGTTTTCTTCGATTTTTGTTGAAGTTGGCACGGGATCAACGACTTCTTCCTTATCTAAATACTGACTAATATTATCTGAACTTTCAGCGGATTCTAAATTTGTGGTTTCAGGTTCTCCGACGTCTTCTATGGTAACGGAACCTTCAGTTATATTTTTGGAATGGCTTTCTGAATCACTTGGTACTTCTGTTATAACGATATAACCCGAAGGTTCCGGTATTAAATTATTTGTTTCTTCCGTAATTTCTTTGATATCCAAAGTTTCACTCGGTTTTGGTAAAGGCGACGAACTTTTACTTTTCGACATTGCTTCCATTTTGAAAAGTTTTGGATCGATATTTTCGTCAAAAGGTTCTTTATATAAATAGGTCCAAGGGTAACCACCTCTCAAACGCTCTCTTCGGATGTCTTCCCACTTATAAGTCTTGATTGGTACCCGTGGAGCTTTCTTCCCTAGATAAAAAATAAATTTTACAACCGCCAATAAATTAACAGAAATGTGGGCCACCGTATTTTCAGCTTTTTTAAACAGGAAGTGTTAAATGGATTATTCTCGGTTTCCTCGCGTTGTTTTTTATTTTTAACCCTTTTATTGTCGGTGTTGCAATCAAAGTCGCGATTCTATTTTCGCAAGTCTCGAAGGTCGCGGCTTATTACATAATTAAGCTCCTACTAATGTGAATTAATTCAATTAAAAGATCGATAAGTGTAAAAATACCGAAGTGGCGGTGGTGCCAAGACGTCGCGCCGAAATAGAAATTCTCTTGAAACCGAATACTTTTTGATTAATTTTCGACTTACTGTGCCGTTTGTCCTTCTTATGTCGTTCCATCACTCCACGCAGCACCACTTGGACGATTCAATTTTCCCATCTTTCGAAAATGGATGGCTCACTAGTGATGTTTTGACGAAAAAAGCTGCTCTTTTTTCGATAATTTTGTGCACACGCGTGAAACGGTTCTGAAATGCTCTTCAGTCTTGGTCTGGCCTGCAACTGAGAGATACGTTCCGACTATTTCTGGAGACGCTATTTTTGAAAAGTGACGTCCTTTTGCAAATCATGCTCGCTGAATTTTCACTCTGATTGTTAGCGACATTCAGAGGCGGCTAACAATTGTAAATAAATAAGACACTGACGTCCGTTTATGCGTCTTTGATTTTTCATCTCGAGACACTAATTTATTTTTTAAACGGGGAACTTTAAAAGAGGGTAAATAATGAGTGCTGGTAGAAATACATAAACACAAAATGTTAACAAATTTTGCTTAATTAATTATTTTTTAGAAGTGGAACGGCTTAAAGAATTTTGTTAGTCTCTTTTGTGGGTATTACATTTCCCACATGTTTTTGTAAAAATAAATATGATTAAAAGGTCTCTATTTTATTTACTCATCACAAATGAGTGAAAATAGATTTTTTGAAAACGTGCCATGAATCTAAGTAGGTCACTCTACCTGACATCTTTAATAGTTCAATTATTATTTATTAGTTATTTGGATTAATTTCAAGTTTGGAAACAATATCTAAAATTTATCTATTTATGGATTTTCTTGTTTTGATATAACTCAAATACATGTCTTAAAAAATATTTAAAATTGCATTGCATTTACCATAGAGCCAATAAATTGAATTGAAAATTATATGACCCTATGAATGATCCAATCTGAATTTAGTATTTAATATGATTACCATAGCAACACAAAAATTTTCCGGAATTTTGTTTACTCATTAGCTAAAATTAATAAGTGAAGTTTTTTTTGATAGAAAAAGTAATCTCAGATGTTTAGTAAAACTTTATTTTAAACATCAAAAACTAAGACTTACTTACTTACTTGAACTCATCCATTTTTCGCGCGGAATACTACTCGAGCATTGATTAAATCCAGAAATTTTTTCTCGTGATTGGCAAAAACGTGTTCTACTCGGGCTAATTAATGTAAATCACTCGAAACAAATTCCGGAAACAATCAATGCACTCGGGATATTATAAGTGAACATCTTTCTACCAGAATTTTAAAAAAATTAGAAATTTCGAGCAAAAACTTGTCAATTTCACTATTTTTTAACCAATAATCAAAACAACATTATAGTAGGTTTTTTTACCAAAAAAATTGTACAACATTGCATTACCTTTTTTATAGTGAAACACCGAAAAATACTTATACTACTTACTTATAAACAGTGTGTCCCCGGATAGATGAAACGACTCTTGTAAAATATAAATAATTTTTGATTTAAATTTTTATTTTTTGGGGTTCAGTCCTGCTTGGGTTAAAGACTAATTTCTAACATAATTTTTGTTTCGAAAAATCAAATATGTCTTGGAATAATTCAAAAAACCTATTTTCGTGTGGAGTAAAGTAGCTTTTGTATGGCAAATACGACAAAAAGTTATGAAGAAAAGTTGTTTAAAATCAACATCTAAGTATTCCCGTATACCGAATTTCAAAATCATCGGTCAACTATAATTTTACATTTTTTATGTTTATTTCACAAATCAAAGAATTTTGTTTTTACAGTTTTTTTATTACGAATAAAAAAAGATACATTTAAATGATTAAGTACTAAATTAGTACTAAATAAAAATAAATTTTTAACGTTTCTGTTAATAATATATCTTAGAAAAAAAATGAAAATTCATTGTTGGCCAATGACTTTGAAATTTGGTATAGGGGTTTAATATTGACTCTAAACAAATTTTTTTAATAATTCTTTGTCGTCTTTGCCACATAAAAGACACTTTAGACTTTACAGAAATATAGTTTTTTTGAAAATTCCCAAAGCATATTTGTTTTTTCAAAACTAAAATTATGTTAAAAATTAATCTTTAACCAAGCAGAGCTGAACCTCAAGAAATAAAGATTTAAATCAAACTTTTTTTTCTTTTACAAGAGTCATTTCACCTATCCGGGGATACACTGTATACTTTATGATAAATAAAGTCCATTAATATGAATGAGTACCAAGAGAAGATATCGCACTCAACTATTCCAGAATAAGCACACCAAATTAAATTTTAAATTTAATATTTACAATCTAGTATTTTTAGTTTTGGTAGTTAGGGAAATGATTTGTAAACAAATTACTTTTTTAATAAACATTTAAGCGGGTCGTAAGTTTTTAATTTCTTCCTGTTTTCCTTCATTCTATTTCTCGAACAGAACCTCTCAAATTGCGAACTTACTAGACGCTAGAGTGTTAAAATAGTACCTATATAAAATAGCAAGTGTTACAAACACTCTCATCGTGACACGAGTAGTTTATGACACGAGACACACAGTGCCGAGTGTTACAATGCACCAGTATCACAATGAGTGATTGAAAAAAAAAGGAGAAATTTATTCTTTGACTGCCATACCTCACACTACAAAACAACAAAAAATTTCTCGAATGTCGAAACGTTGCGACAAATTTAAATCAGTTATTTTATTAATGTCCTAATAACCGAAATCTTCAACTAAGTCAATCACTTTAAGGACGAATAAAAATGTCAAATTATATTTTAATTTGAAATCAACTTGAACCAAGGAATAGAATTAATAACTCATTATTCCTGTGGTTATTTAGATTCAAATTTAGGCAAGTCGTCCATATTGTTTCTCTCCCTCTTGTTTTTTTATTTAGACTGATAATGGCAACTGATTGTGGAATTACAGTTGAAGACAAAATACTTTGGTCGTCATTTTTCTGACACTTTAATCTAATTCAAGATTTAACGTTAAAATGAATGACAATTTCAAATTAATGACAGCTATTATATCTTTCAAAAATATGTACTTGTCAACTATGATTGACAGTAGCTAATAATAAGGTTAACAGTCCTAAAGCATGCTTTACAATTTAATGTCACTCAAGTGACATTGACGACCAAAGTATTTTGTCTTCAACTGTACTCTTTCCAAAATGAGACTTTATCCGCAAACTTCAAATTAGTAAAAGACGAACCATCAAATTCATTTTCCCTTCCATGGAGCCCACAAATTTCCACAAATAAAATAATAAATTAAAAAATTACAATGAGAATGCGACAGTTTTGTCTTGGCCTAAAGAAGTTCCAGTAAAAAATACACCTAGTTATGAGTCACTCTGTATATTGCGATTTGAATAAGTTTAGTGGTTTTGTCATCGTTAAGTTGGTACCTGCTTGACATTTTCATCAGCTGATTGTCATTTTCGCCGCGATGAATTTGTGTTTATTATTAGTCATTTATAAATAGATAAGAAGATCCGCACTTGCTTATTTACTTTTTTAGTAATAAGCACCATGTCTGAGGTAAAATCGCATTAAAACAACAATATCATAACTAGTGACAATATTTTTGTAGTCTGGTAAACGTCAAGTGCCCCCAGCAATGAAAAAAATCCTAAATCTGGATGCAGAAATAACCAAACGGTTCGTCTTGTGGGCTAATCAATTTTTGCCCTTGAGGTCACTTCGTATCCATTACAAAGCGTTGGAAGTACGTAAAAAATCATACAAAGAAGGTTAAGTATTGTTTAATTCCAGATAACGTGCCATGGAATCCCTTGGTTTGCATTTTGGATCGCATTTACTTGGTTGTTTAATAATCCGTCTCTAATTCAGTTACAAGTAAACATGTTGATAGGCCTTTTAATTGACATAATTCTCATAGCTGTGGCAAAAGCTTATTTTCGCCGGCGGAGGCCTATAGCCAACACTGATGACGCCTTGGGCCAGATAGGCCCTGATGTATTTAGTTTCCCTTCAGGACACGCCAGTCGTGCCGTTTTTGTTGCCTACTTTTTCATCAATTTGTGGCCATTGCCCATATTTTGCGTACCCCCTTTACTTGCATGGGTCACGGCTATTTGTTTGAGCAGGATTTTGATGAATAGGCACTACATTCTTGATGTTATAGGCGGAATTGTCTTTGGGTTAATTGTCTCATGGACAGTCAGCCTTATCTGGCTTGATAAAGACTCCGCTAATTATTTAATGTCATTTTTATCAGACGATAAAATAGATGGGGGTGACTACCATGTGTGAAAATAATAAACATGTTTACTATTTATCACTTTATTAAGACTTTTTTTACACTGAATTACTGATTTACTGTAGAAATAAGGCCCGAATTTCAGGGAATCAAAAAATTTTCAATAAATATATTTCGGTAAGCGAGGCTGTAAATAAATGATACGAAGTTGTAAAATCTTTGGTTGTACATAAAAAACTTAAACCTAGTGTTTTACTTTTCCTGCACCTTTCTCCTCCAGGTACCACTTAGCTGCCTTTCGAGTGCGTATTTTTGCTACATTTTAAAGCTATTAGCTTGAGACATGTTACCCAACAAGTGCAAAAAACTATTCTTCATATAAACAAAAAATGGAATGTGTTGGGATAACTAACAATCTAAAAATTAATTAAAAACATGCGTATAACAACACGTAATTGTGTGCTATTGAAATAAATAAATAAAATATATACAAATGTTAAGTACAGATTATATAAAAAGCAAGGTACACGTTAAAAAACTGCTCAAAGCCGAATAAAATTACCACAATTTATTATGATAAAATTTCAAATCGAAAAATCCCTGTTCTGTTAAGTGACTCGGAGTTCTCTTCCCAGGTGTTTTAGTTTCTGGCGTTGCGATTTTTTCGGTTTTTCCATCAACGACATTTTCGATCGTCAAATTTTCGATAATTTCCTCTTCGATTTCTTTTTCGAGTACCTCACTTTCTACATCATTTTCATTTTGATTATCTTCGGTCTGTTCTTCACTTGGCTGTATAGAAAGAGATCGAGGACGTTCTAATTTTGGCGAAGAGTTGACTTTTTCTTCCATTACCTGGGTTTCACTGGAATATTGCATACATTTTTCTAGAAACTTATTTTACTGTGAGGCTATTTGTGCCCTGTGGGAGAGAAACAAAACAAACCAAATCAATAAAAAATTGCGAAAATAATAAAACACAAATAAACGATAAATCATTAGTAAAAAGCAAAATTATAGTAAATAGGGGGTGAGTGAGACAATACTTGAATTTCTTACCTTTGTCAAACAATACGTGCGACTTGAAATTTTGTTAGGAATTCTAGGACGGGGAATTTGGGAATTAATTAACGACCCTTCATACTAATCATCGAAGCTTGTCTCAATCTAATAATAAGAAGAAAAAATAGAAAATGTTTCGTAATTCTCATTTTTTTCTCACGGTTCATTCACTTGTGGCGGATATCCGTATCGTAAACCAAATTCGTCACTAGGAGCATTTCCCATATCACTAATACCAAACATCAGTATAAAAATAACAAATTTGGTTATTGTTTACCCTTTTCCGTCATTACCCAACGCCGAATGATCATTTGTTTCATTTCTATTAAAATTCTCGACTTGTTGATTTTGATAATGAACTGTTTGTTGACTTTGTGCTTCATTTTCGGCTGGTTTTATTTGTGTTTTACTAAGATTTTGTTGTGGTGGTGTAGCATTATTCATATTCGAACCCGCATTTTGTTGAGATTGCATATCTGGAGCTGAATATTGCATCTGATATTCCGATGAAGGCAAGGTGTAGATATTCGCTTGGGGCCGAATTTGGGGACTATTTTGTACATTATTGACATTATTGTAAGTAACATTAGGTTGAGTTTGCTCCATATTTTGATACACGTATGTCGGATTTTGAGTTTGTTGTTGGTTTTGACTAGGTTGACTTTGCGAAGATTGGGATGGCAACACTGAAGGTTGTGGCATAGGTTGCGATGTAGATTGTGATGAGACAATTTGTGATGTATCTTGTGACATAGGTTGAATTACAGGTTGTGATGGAGTCTGGAATACCGGTTGTGATGGTTGTTGTGTCATAGGTTGCATTACAGGTTGTGAAGTTTGTGGTATCTGTTGCACTACAGGTTGTGACATAGACGCCGTTACAGGTTGCGATGTAATTTGTGACATAGGCTGTGGAATGATTTGTGATACAGGTTGCGTCACGTCATGCACAGTCTGCGACACACTTTGTTTTATAGTTGGAGTTAAATATTGTGGCATAGGCTGCTGAATAGGTTGTTGTACATGTTGTGACATAGGTTGTTGTAGATGTTGTGACATGGGTTGTTGTACATGTTGTGACATAGGTTGTTGTACATGTTGTGACACAGGTTGTTGTACATGTTGTGGCATTGGCTGTTGCATAAGTTGTTCATATTGGGGCATAGGTTGTTGCATAGATTGTACATGTTGTGACAAAGATTGTTGTACATGTTGTGGCAAAGATTGTTGTACATATTGTGATTGTACTACATTTTGTGATACAGGTTGGGCAACATTCTGGCCGCCAGGTGGCAACATTTGTGATACACTCTGTGATGATTCTTGTACACTTTGTGGTGGAATTTGATAGTTTTGTTGTAAATGTTGAGGATATTGATTTTGTGTTACATTTTGTGTCCAGTCTTGATTATACCGAGAATCATATCCCGTATTTGCGAAATTCTGCCATGCATTATTACTTTGTTGCTGATGCTGGTAATATTTCACTTGTTCAGAATTTGAAGCCAAGCCGTCATACTTTTGATAATACATATTAGGAGTACTTTGTGACATATTAGGACTAAGGAACAGGATAATAAGGAAAAAATCGCTTTTTACCTCTTACTCACCTGTTTGTGGCCGCACTTTGGTAATTAGTCTCGGGAGCCGATCTAACTCTAACATTTCGCATGCAATAAATAAAAATAAATTTCGTTTTAAACTTACCCTGTCGGTTCTGGCGTTTTCGCTATGGTCGAAGTCTGGTTGTGTATTATCTAAATTAATAATTAATTAAATGAGAGAGGAAATTTATTAAGTTATTTCTTGTTATACCTGCCCCATACTGCACGGAGGCCTGGGGGCCCCGTACCGCCCCAAAGGCGACGCATAAGTCGTTGTTTGTAAGCCGTTAGCTGATTGTTTTTTCCCGACGGGAGTGTTACTAAAATTGTTAGTTTGTTAAAAGTTAATTAATAAATAAAGTAGTTCACCTGTGACTGTGCTCCACGGTACCGTTTTTGTCTTGAACACCTGGAAAAAATCCATCGAAAACCACGTAATTGTTCATCTGCTTGACGGGACTATTCAACGAATAGTGTTTGTTGAGAAAACCGAGGAATTTTTCACTGGGTCGGTCAATGGCCATTTTCACCGGTTCGATACTTTCCGTCTGTAATCAAACAAAAACATTTTCACCTTTGTTGTAAATTCACATATGTGGGAAGAACGTTTCTGGGTCACGACAGACAAGATATGCATTTTTGTATATTCCTAGGAATATTTTGAACCGTGCACGCAATCTGCCCTTATCACGTCCGAAATCTTATCGAAAACAAAAGTAACCTTGACATAGAGTTCCGTTATGTGTCTTTTATAATCATATTTCATGTTCGATGGCCAAAAAAAGGTTGGTAGTGATGTCGATGGAGTTACGGTTGCATGATAGTTGAAGTATTTCCGATTTTGCGGTTCTTTATTAGGTCGTTTGCATGAGATTCGAATCAGGGTATCGACTTTTAGATATTTGTAATTGATATTAGTAACTTTGTCGTTCGTTTCTTCTATTTAAAGTTGATGGAATTTGTTATAGAATTGTATATTTTATTATTGATACACAAATTGATTGCGTAGTGATTATACTTTAAATAAATAATTTTGTTTCTAAACATAGACAGCGAGTATTTTTCTGAATGTCACTGATGTAACATAATAAACATGAAATTTGTGTTAATTAGAAGTAATTTAATTAATAATAAACGTGAGAATGAATACAAATTACTCAGTGTAATAATACACCAACTTTTATGCGCACTCACGTCTCGTTATAACAATAATTCATTTTCAATTTAATTTAAATTACAAACGCATTTTGTACTTTTCTCTAGTTGCACGATATTTCGTCTAAAATTTAATTTCCGGTTCTAAAATAGATAGAAAATTCGCCACTTTATATAAAAATTGTAAAGAAATAACTGGTCTTTTTTAAAATTCGACGTCGCAGTTGGCCGCGTTGTTAACACACCATGAACACATAAACAAACCAACAGAACTTTTTACAATTACAATTTTAATAATATGCACAAAGTTAACCATCTTCATAAATTTAATCTTGATAATCTTGGTAAGTTCGTTCACAATCAATTTTGCAAAGCCAACTTCGACGTCGAATTTTAAAAAAGACCCGATATTATCTCTAAGGCTAGCTATTCAAAATTTAATACAGGCTGTTTCAGAACTCGCGCCCCAAAAGAAAAATTTCAAGTAAGATAAGATACCAGGAACATGAAGAAAATGTTTAAAAAAATTCTATACAATTGACAACTATTTTTTTTACATTTGACATTTTTTTTTATCTCTACTTGGTGTTACTGATGATCTTGTATATGTTTTTTAATAATTATTTAGTAAAGGTACAAAAATTTTGCCAATAAAAGGCACAAATAACTTTAAACAGAGTTACAATTTAGGATGCAGCTTTCTAGTTCCCTCTTCTAATAGTCTGTAACAAAAAAACGTGGAAAACTATTTTAACAGAAATTAATTAAAATTAACAAAAACAGCCACAGAAAACAAAAATGTCTTCATATTAAAAACACAATCCTAATACTTAAAAAGGTCACTTCTTTTGTCGAAGGTATTACCGAATTTATTAGTAGGTTATACTCGGTAATACTTGTTTATATTGCATTTTTTGACAAATTTTCTTACGCTAACATGGAGGTTGCACTCTCTACAGGGTGTATCAAAACCCGCGCTCCAAAGAAAAATGCCATGTAAGATACCAGGAACATGGAAAAAATGTTAAAAAAATTTTATCTTTAAAAAGTTCGAAGTTATGAGGGTTTAAAGTTTGCACTTTGACTCTATTTATTTCTGTTAGAAAAATAATTTTCCATTTTTTTTTTCTATAGGCTATTAAAAGAGGAAACAAGGAAGCTGTAGCCTAAATTGTAACTCTGTTCAATGTTATTTGAGGCTTTTATTGGCAAAATTTTTGTCTCTTTACTAAATGATTGTAAAAAAACATATACATGATCATCAGTATCATTAAATAGATCTAAAAAAATGTCAAATGTCAAAAAATAAATGTGAAAATTTTTTCACAGAGAGAATTTTTTAAACATTTTTTTCATGTTCCTAGTATCTTATCTTACTTGAAATTTTTCTCTGGGGCGGGAGTTCTGGCGCACCCTGTATACAAGATCACTAGTAACTTTAAATAGATATAAAAAAAATCAAATGTTAAAAAATAAAGGTCAAAATTTTCTGACAGAATTTTTTAAACATTTTTTTCATATTCCTGGTAGGTATGTTATCTTACTAGGAAATTTTCTCTGGGGCGCGAGTTCTGAAACACCCTGTATATCCAGAAACTATGTATAAACATTCGGATAATGCAAATTGATTACATCGATCACTTTGATCGATCACTTTGTTATTTTTATTTCATACTGTCTGGTAGATAGCGTTGCGGCTGGATTGTGAATCCGGGAAGTAAACTATGTACGGTATCAGAGCTGTAAATGTAACCAACCAAACAACACTTACCGTATTGTTACATGATTTTTTGATGGGTTTTCTATTAAATTCAATGAAGATAAATAAAGTTACCACTGAAAGTTTTTTTTCATTAATAACAAAAATAAAACCGAGGTAAAGTAGAAAAACGAATTTATGAAAGAATTTTCATTCTCATCGATTTTGCATTTCCAACTAAATAATTCAAGTGACTCATGAATCAGTTCATTTAGAGACATTTTTAATATAGTTTGTCCGTTTCTTAAAAGGTAAACTCGATTTGGAAAAAACCTCAACCCACTATCCATTTTCGCCGCCTTCGCATCTTCGTAGAGCAATGTCATGGAATCATTAGCTAACAAATTTCTAGCTTGGATCGACCTTTCGCTCGTTGCTTAGGGTCAATAATACGCCGATACAAATTTAAACAGCATACACCTACCATTCGCATATCTTACCTGAAGCATGTGTTCGAATAATCGTTTTCCCAGACCAGTGCGTTGGCGAGATTCATGGACGTAAAAATCCAACACGCATGGTGGAGATACTTGATAATGTTGGCCGTTTCTGTCGAACACGTAAAGGCCCTTCGTGCCGGTTTTCAACATGCCGGTTACAGCACCACGGCCACTGAAAAATCAATTTTTAAGAAAACAATTTGTAGAAAAATGTGAGCTCATCTGCATTTATCGATGCATGACTCACGTTTATACAGCAAGGTAGGGAATTTGAAATGAATAGTCCGTTTTCTCTTTAGAGATTTCAATTAGATTAAGACCGCATTAGATGAGTAAGACTTGGTGTTTATTAATGAGCTTCTGTTTGCGTATGTAAAACAAAATTATAAATGAGGTGCTAACTCCTTTTAAAGTTTCAAACAAATTTAAAAACACACTCACGAAATTCTTGCATAATTTTTGCCAATTTATTATTTAGTCGGCGACAATGTGTATAGGAGTGGTGCGTACAGAGGCTGGAATCAAAATCAATATTCTGTCTATTTAGTCAGACTAGAATTTTCTCAGGGGCAATAACCCACTTGTAATCGTCAAATTAAGTCAAACAAGAGGAATAAATATTCTCTTTTGATGTTTTACTAAATGTGTTTGTGTTAAAAAAATGTCAACTCCAAATTTGTCGACCTTCATAAAACAAATATTAACGCTCTTATTAATTTTGTATCAAGTTCAGTTTCAAACCTGTTGATTTTGGAATTGTGTCTCTTATCGATCTCATAAATCCTGCAATCGTAATTGATGTACTCATTACACTAAGTAATTAAAAAAATTGTGCGTATAAGAGCGAAACCTTGAACTAGTTTTAGAAATATGTCATTAACAATCTTAGGGTTTTATTGATATCAATATATTTCATCGATTGAATACGATATTCAATTTAATTAACATTTTCGAAAGTGGGATGTTTTATCCTATTTCGAAAATATAACAAGCGACATAAAAAATGTAACACTGATAGAATACATAAATTTTGTTTTGTTTTTGAGTTTTGCAAACTTTTTTCAGAGTGGCAACTTATATGAAAAATTTTTTCGATGAAATTTTAATAAAATGTAGATAGTTGCAATAATGCTGTTGTTGTTTGAAAAAATCAAAAATTTTAACAACTCAAAAACAAAATTTGGAAAAAATTTATTCTTGAGAATCGTCAAGTTTTTTTAGTATCTTATCATCAATTAGTTTTTTCAAAAAATAAATAAGCAAAATTAAGCAAAAAATGTTTCTGTATGTACAGGGTGTTTCAAGTAGTTTTACGAGGCCTGCGCCTGTAAGATGCAATCAATAACACATATTCGACATCGATTACAAATTTTGAAAAATTGAATAATCTTCTCTAGTTTGTTTACCCTTTAAAAAATTACAACGTTTTTACTTAGTCAGTGATTAAGAAAGATAGATAAACTAGAATCATATTCATAATAATTGTTTCTGAAAAACTGCAGTTTATGACTATTAATGAAACGGTGATTAGTTTGACAACTACTGTCATGGGTTTCCAAAAATTAAATAGTTACAACAAGAAGGACTGATAATCTGGAAGAAGTGTTAAAACGAGTTACTTTAAAACTGAATGACACAAGTGACATTTTTTACCTTACATGAAAAATCCACAATATTTTAAGATGGTTAAAATGAATATACTTATTACTTTTACTCGTTGTGTAAAGATTCTTCTAAAGTGTCACATTTGTCATATCATTCAGTATATCTAAGGACATTATGTGTTTTGATATGATAAATAAGTTGGGAGATTTGTTTTATTCAGAACAAATAAATAATTCGAGAAAAACAGTTTTTTTAATGAAATAAAGATGTGAAAATACGATACACGTACTATTACTCTCATTGCGTGTTGGGCCAGATTTTATTTATTGCAATGAGTTGAAAATTAAACTTTACAAAATTTAAAACTAATCTCGATTTCAAACAAAACCTGAAACAATTTTCTCTTTGTTTTACCTGATTGTATCTCGAAAAGTTTTATTTGTTCAAACTTTTTGAATTACCTTCCTACGTCCATTTTGAATAATCAATAGAGATTAAAAATAGCTTTTGTCATATTAACCTGCATTGATTGGAAAATAGTACTTGAAAATAATCAAAATATATTTTGCGTTCCGCATCACATGTACATATGTACAGTTATTTTTTTCATTACAGTGTTTTCGTATTAGAAAACGTAATGCATTGTTGCATGTTCCGTTCGTTGCTTGCACGTGTGTTTCAAGTAACACAAAAAACCCATCGTGTAACCATATGGGTCGCTTCTTCTTCGTACGCTTAACTGTAATTAGTAATTAATAATTATCAAAGAAACTCTTCAAAAATTACAAATTGGAGACGAAACATTTAATTATACACATGTCAAACAGACACAAACACTCAATTCACTGGAGACATTTATTTAAATAGAACCTTTTGAAGTTTTACGACAAGAAGAAAATCTTTTAGTAAAAAATTTTAAATACGCAATAAATGCCAATTTACATTAATTAAAACTACCAGGGGTGGTTTCGCGTGTTATACCGACTTATCAACGTTCATCGACTTCTGGATATACCCGCAAACGTCATTTTAACGACTTTTTTTCCCATTCTTAATGTGCTTTGTGCACTTGAATATTCGGATTCGTTCAATGAAATTCGCAGGTTTTTTCAATGTCTGGTCAACGATACTAACACACGACAGAATCTAATTTATACTTTCAGTACTCAAATTTTTTTGGTTACGAAATCACAAATGTTGATTATAGACATTACGTATTCTAATAATTGGGTTCATCATTCGAAAGTGTGTGTTCAAATTCCATACCGTTTAGTGCCTGAGGCTTTTTCAAGTCTTGAGGATTCTTGAATTTATTTTTTCTGGATCTAATTTCCTAATAATTGAGTACTCACTTGCCGGCATTCTGATCGATGAGCAAATAGACCGAATGTTCAGAATTTCGCAGTCTTTCAGCTGTCGTTATCGGTTTTGTGAGTCCTTGAGCTGCAGCTGAAGCCTCTCCCATAGCATTTATCACTTCTGAAACTTTCCCGACGACGTCCCTGAAATCATCAATTTTCGGTGTTTTCATTAATTTTAAACGACTTTCGATCGCTATTAATAAAGCAAATAAGCAAAAACAGTATTAGGTCAAGGGGCAAAATCAAACCCTGCAACATTTTTAATCTCATAAATGGGTCATTATATAGAGTATCGAGGTTGTAAAAAGATCATTTGCTAATAAAAGATTAACCCAAATTACACTTATTCTAGAACGAAATAGCAAACAAAAAAGTAACACATTTCCTCATACACGTCTGATTAAATTCTACTGCACAATTAAGATTTATTATACCAGCAAGTCAAAAAATAAATCGAGCAATTATCACTGATTGTGGTTAAGTGAGACTTTCTAAACTTATTATTGTTCCAATGATTAAATTATTTGTTCATGTTTGACGATTTTAAATTTTAAAGTTTCATGATTTTTTTGCATGTTTCCGCAGTTCTAAATGTAATAAAAAATATTCTTTGACCTTCTAATAAAATAATCACAGCAATCTCAAATAGAGTTTTATTTATTCTTTCCAGAAATCAACAACTTTAACTTTAACCTATAATTTCAGAAGTTGTACTAATAGAATTTAATAATATCTTTGCAAAATAGTTTCCTTAACAATTTTCTCAAGAAATCTATATTTTTTCATGTCATGTTTGCATGTAACATGTAAAATATTATTTAAAAAATGCACTTTTATGCAATATTCAGGTTAGGTTATCAAAATATTTCCAGTGACAGCAGGTACAAACGTAAGAAAAATAGTTCATTGATTATGTCAGGTTTGCGTGTATCTACCGTTAAGACGACATTATTTTAAATTAAAATGCCATTTATTTTAAATTTTAACAACATTCTTGAAATGTATTCAAGCAATAAAACTTCAGAAAGTAGATGATAACGTTTCATTATTTATACTAGATGATTCAAAATCAAAATTTGTACAAAACAGGTTTTTATTTGTTTGTTCAAGGTTGAATAATTTGTAGACAACCAAAAAACATGATTTATTCCATGAAAAAGGTTATCAAAAGATAATGACACCACTTTGGTGTTTGACACTTTAACAGCAATTTTTAACACAGTTCGTGACTGAAATTGCTAAACCACAACAAATTTCAAAGGCAATTCTATTATAATAAAAATGAGCGATGAATAATAAAATAATCTTAAATAAATTTGTAGTTTGTTTAGTGACACGTTCGTCCAGAAATAAAAGCTTTGCTAAAATTTCAAAAATAATTAACTACTTGTTGAGAAAAATGTATCAAGTAAAACAAGCGATCGCTGACTCACACTGCGTCAGACACGATGATAATAATTGTTAATATTCCGTGTTCCTCAAATTTATAAATTAGGTAAGCCTCAAAGAATGTTTTTCGTACACAGTATAACGGTAATCGTCAGTCAGCAAACAAGAAAATTGTAACGATATTTCAAGTTTATTGCACGTTGAAATAGCTAATTTGACAGTAATACACATCGACGAAATTAAAATTGCAAATATTTGCGTATCACGTAAACTGCTAGTTAAATTTTGGATGACTTGTATTTCAACTGGAATAAATACCTCTGACACCCAAATTAATATTTATCATCAAACGAAATCCTCTGATTATGAAAATCGATCACAGAAATTATTTTTCTCACCTCAGATTTACATAATTTTTTCAACTATACAAGGTGAATACAAACTATAGAACCAAACGTTTTTTTTTAACCATTGTCTTAAGAAAATGATGATTAATAAAAATTAGTGCTATAAAAAATGTGTATGCGATTTTTCTATGGCATCCCCGGATGTGAAAGAAAGTGAAAGATATTCTCGATTTAAATTTTCATTTTTTGGGGTTCAGCCCTGCTTGGTTAAAAACTAATTTCTAAATTTGGAAAAATCATGTATCCCCTGGAAATTTTCTACTCTATTTTTTGAAAAGTAAGGTACCTTTTGTGTGGCAAATACGATAAAATGTTATTAAGAAAAATTGTTTTAAATCAACATCTAGTCTCCTATACCAATTTTCAAAATTTGAATTTTTTTTTTGAATATGATAATTTAATACGACGGAAAATGTTGTACAGGGTGTTCCAAGTTTTAGGACCGGCGCAAAAATAAATACATATTTTTAGGTGATTGATAGTGTAAACGATAGAGGATTAAATGAACTTCAACTTGATGTTTTGATATTGTATAAAATTTTTAGCGTATGGCAGTGGGACCTTAAAAATCAAATTTGGAGAAAACAAAATTTAATTAACTGGGATATTTTCTACATAATAAAATTCTTTGGTTTTTTTTGTGAAAATAGAAAAATGAAAGTTGACAGGTTTTGAAAATCTGAAACTTGGAATAATTTATGTGGGGGTTCGCACTAATTAATTGGTGATCAAGCCAGAATTTCTTGACAAAAAAGGTCTGCAATGACATTTATGATGTACCCGGGCTCTATTGTAAGGCCTCCGCTTTATTGTCAATGCATTAGCAGCACATCATCTCAATCTTGGCCATAAATTATCAGTATTCCCAATTTTTACTATTGAAATTTATCAACTTTCACATTATCCAATTTTCTCAGTTACCACCAGATAAAAACAAGGAATTTTGTCATTTAGAATAGATTCCAGTTAATTTTTTTTTTCAAATTTGGTTTTTAGGGTCTCACTGACATACGCTAAAAATTTTAAACAAGATTAAAGCATCCAATTGAAGTCTATACAGGGTTATTCATAAATATGAAGCAATATTTGAACCTCAAAAATGACCCATAAAATGATGTTAATTTAAATAATAACTGGTGTCCTATCTCTACTGATAAGAATTTTACAGCCCTTGGAATTTGTTTTTTTTTTTAATAATTTCGGAACCATTTGACCAAATATTATAAAATTTGGAATAGTTACTTGCGAGAACATACTTTTTGAACTGGTATTCACGAAAACCGGATACATCTACTCAATTTCCGATTCCAGCAGTTGCAGGTCACATTTTCTGTGTTATTTCATTTTTTTGGTCTCGTAACATTAATTTTTTATTCTTCAAAACAATATAGTAATCAATTTTGAATAAAAAACGCATAACCCTTAATACCTACCCCTAAAATGGACCGTTTTAAAGATACTTTAATTTAAAGTGAGAACTGCACAACGCTGAAAGCAAAAAGTATGAATTTTGAATGAGTGATATCATGCTATGGTTTCTTAGATTGGTGAATTCAGTCTATCTATTTAATTTAGCGTCCAAACACCAGAGGCGCTCGCATCAAAATTTTAAAATTTTAGCGGTTGGCTGTGACATCTCTGATAGAAAAAATTAAATTTTGACGGTGACATCGTTTAAAGTGCTTATGTGTAGTTATGATTTTTAGATTTTTATTCAGTTATTGTGTACAGATGTGTGGCTGTGTGTACAAATAAAGGAAGTTTTACTAACAATTTGTGAATTTTGTTGATGAAAATGTTGACATTGATGGGAAAAATATGAAGATTTGTTCCGGCCGACACCCTTTTGTGACAAGAACTCAACAACTCAGACTGTTTATGCTTCCTTCTCGAACATAATTGTTTTAATATAATCCATATAAGTATGAAACCACCTATGTTAACTAATTTGATTCAATATCTTTAATAAATCACTTTAAAAAAATAAACTTATATTTTCTTTGTTTAATCTCTAATAAGATGCCAGTAGCACTTATCTCCCTGTACTAAATACTCAATTAACATTATTTTTACCATTTCAAAAAGGCACATTTTGCTCTATAGTTCAGCGTCCAAACTACAGAGGCGCTGCTGAATACGAGTTCAAAAGGTTGTACATGCGTCAGGCATCTGTCAACTTGAGATTGGACAATTATTAGACGATTAATCAAAAATATTTAATAAAAGAGTTTACCTCAGACTCCAAATATAACTTAGAATAAATCCAAATGGATCTCGTGACATTTCATTCATAAAAAATTCACAAAAATTTATCGTCAAAGTTAACAGATGTCTCGCAGCGATTTAGGTGACCATGGTCATTGGTTGCCATAGATACCACTCATTCAAAATTCATATTTTTCATTTTCAGCATTGTGCAGTACTCACTTTAAATTAAAATATCTTTAAAACGGACGATTTTAGTGGTATAAAAGGTTATGCGTTTTTTATTCAAAACTGGTTACTTTATCGATTTAAGCAATAAAAAATTAGTGTTAAGAGGCCAAAAAAAGGGAAAAACACAGAAAATGTGACCTGCAACTGCTATAACCGGAAATTGAGTAGATCTTGTGATTATTAGTTTAAAAGATATGTTCTCACAAGTAACTATTCTAAATTTTATAATATTTGGTCAAATGGTTCCAAAGTTATTACAAAAAAACAAATTTCCATACCCAAATTCCAAGGGCTAGCAAATTCTTAACAGTAGAGATAGGACACGGGTTTTTATAAAAATTAACATCATTTTATGGGTCATTTTTGAGGTTCAAATATTGCTTCATAATTATAAATAACCCTGTATAATCGTCTATCGTTTGCACTAACAATTTTTTTTTATCAATTAGAAATATTTATTTTTGCGCCGGCCCTAAAACTTGAGACACCCTGTAGGTACGTACAACGACCGCGGGAGAGCCTTCCTTCGTCACTATGGTCTTCTTAACAGCCCTGAATTCTTAAATGACTATATTAATACACAGAAAAGCGTTTTATTTTATTATTAATGGAAAATAATAAATCCTTCTTCTAAATAACCTGATACAGCAACAAGGATATAAATTTAATTTCCTAACCGGAATGTCATTATTCATGCAGAGTTACGATAAGAATTGCAATTTGCATTAAAGTCGGAATTATCAGATTAATCCTAGATTTATTGTCAGTGCATTTAGACAGATAGAGGAAAATTAAATCCATTTTAATTTTTAGTTTTTATTTTTAGTTACTTTTAGGCTTAAAAAATCCCATCTACTGCAGGAAAAAGTATGAAAAATAATATGCAACTAGGGCTTTCTAATTAGTTAAATTAATTCATATTTGTGCAATAGTTAAAATTCAGCACGATACTAACCTACCCCACCATACAAACACACATCTCGCTAACCCTGACATAATAATAAAGAATTTCTCCTCCCATGGTACAAAATTCGCCTCAATACATTTTGAATTAAATATTAATTGCGATACTTACCAAAAGGCTCTGCGATCTCCGGTGAATCCCGGGGGCAGTAAATTATTGCTGATTTTGACGATCGGTTGTTTGAAAACGTCATTTACCGCAAATTTGAATTCCATTTTTTCGTCGTCTTCTAATCACTGATCTGTAGCACTTCGCGTGAGAGAACTTTCAAGGTCGTTAGAAGCGCTATTAATTGTTTAAATGTTTGATTGCCAGCACATAACAATAGGGAGATTTATTCGATTTTCGGTTAGAATTTCCGAAAGAAATAATCGCGCACTGTTTGACAGAAAAATGATTTTTCGACTTGGCCGCCTACGAACTTGCCTGTCGACGACGGAGCGCTTTCTGCTCGGTGATCTCGGTTCGGAAAGGAAGTGAAGTGGGCTGTGAAAACATAGGCGGGGTATGTGGGACCGATATGGGGGAATTCCATAAAAATGAGAAGTTTGATGCATTTTGAACTTTAACAATACGCTTTGTGAAACTGTGATAAAACACAAAATTTGATAAATTTAAGTTTCTAGAAGTGTGTTAATATGATAGTAAGTTATGAATTATAAGTTGGTACAAACAACAAATACAGGCTGATTTTAATACTTGTGCAGAAATTTTAAAAGGTGATAATAGAGAACAAAAGATGGTAAAATTATTTAACTTGCGTTATCCGAATGTTTTGTGTATTTTTTGAAATTTGAAGTTAGTTCTAAAATTTATTACATTGTTAAAAAAATAGTTAAATTAGCATATACAGTCACAGGAAAATGTGGTTTTATATTAAATAAAATAACAAAGATAAGATAACAATAAAGATAATACAAATTTTGCAACATTTTTTGTCGGAAATATCATTCAATTTTATTATCTCAAACATCACACCAAATAGTAGCAATGATAAACTTTGGAATAAAGTATGCAAAAGATGCAATCTTTGATTATATTACATTTTTTGAGGAGTTTGAATAACAAAAAAACTTGGTGTTGAAACAACTTGACTTTTTTCGAAAACAATTAACTATCATTTGTCATTTGTCATTAACTGTAATAATATTTGTCAAAGACATCACAAATTTGACATTTTAAACTATCAAATTTTAAATTTGGTTATGTTTTTTCTAATTCGTTGACATTTCCAGTGTCATTTATCGGTTGCTGTTTTTTTTATAAACAGCATTCAAAGATTTTGTTCTTTTAAATTTTTTGTGAAGAACGTATTTGTTGCTGATACTCTTTATGTTACGCCACTGCTTTTAAACATATCGATCGTTGTCATTGGTTGGGTTTGAACGCATGTGCGCAAAGGATCCTAGACACATGATGGATAAAGTCAATTCCTTGGAAAATAAATACAAATTAAAACATTTGAAAATGAGTGACTGAGATATCTTGTTACGCCTCTTGGTTTAACTGTATTTATTAATTGTGATATACAGTTACGTTTTTTGAAGTGAAAAAGTAAGTTTTGACATTATTAAAAGCCTGTATTTTTGTTGTTTTTTTTTTTTGGATTTTGATATTTAAATTTTATGAGTAAATTTAGTGATAAGCAATCTGTAATTGATAAAATGTTGATTGTGTGATTGTGTCATCTTTGAGTGTGTTTTGTAATACTGGAGCTGGTAAAAGAGAAAGTTAGAATGAATTTCTGTGTACCTCTTTCACATTGTTTGAGCTTCTGTTCAGAAGATGTCGCGACGAATGTGTTTTCGGCGGGAGCAAATAAAAGCGTAGAAAGGCTACATCATGTTTCATCTCGATCTCAACCTTATTTACTTATCGTCTGCAACTAAATTTTCTTGAATAATTTATGTATTAAAAATTTAGTTTTTTCTAAAAAAAATTAGGTTTTAATTGAAAAAAGATCACTTCGTAAATTGTGTTTTTTAACATACAGGGTAAAGAATACAGGAAAGTTCACAAAAATTTTTGACCTGAAAAACATTTTACATTTTTTACACAGTGTTTATGGTATTGAAGTTAAAAATTAATCTGAATAGAACAGTATAGAAATAGTGTATCCGAAAAAAAAATTAAATGAATTACATAGTTATTTTTTTTTAATATTTTTTTTTTATTTTACGTTTTATCATATTGTTATTATTGTTATATAACCTTTTATTTCCTAAGTTTGTGCGTATAAGTGAAGACTCACCCTGTATAATAAAAAACTTTTTTGTTACACCAGCGCAAAAACAGTTGTTCATTTATGTTGTTAAGTAAAAGCAAAAACAACAATTATTAAAATTATGTAATAATTTGATTAATTACATACAGGTGCGCCAGAACTCGCGCCCCAGAGAAAAATGCCATATAAGGTAAGATACCAGGAACATGGAAAAAATGTAAAAAAAAATTACCTATAAAAATTTCGAAGTTATGAAATTTTAAATTTTGCATTTTGACTGTATTTATGTCTGTTGGAAAAATAATTTTCCAAGTTTTTTTGCTACAGGCTATTAGAAGAGGAAACAAGGAAGCTATATCCTAAATTGTAACTCTATTCAATGGTATTTGTGGCTTTTATTGGCAAAACTTTTGTAACTTCATTAAGTAATTAGAAAAAAAACATATACAGGTCATCAGTAGCCTTAAATTGACATAAAAAAATGTCAAATGTCAAAAAATAAATGTCCAAATTTTTTGATATATAGAATTTTTTAAACATTTTTCCCTGTTCCTTATTATGATTTCTCATTTAAATCCGCCATAAAATGCCTTAAATCTTTACAACAGTTGATAATTTTTCACATTTTGTATTAAAGAATTTAAAAGTGTACGCTATTTTGTATGTTGATGTATAGTTTCTAACGATATACAGGATGTTTCAGTTAAGAACGTTATAAGCAAAAAATGCGTATAAGAGTCATCTTCAGTAACACAATTAAATTATAATCAAAATGGATAAAATGCTTGTTTAGATAAGAATATTCAAGGTATTAATTATCAAAAATTATATGTGTTTTATTAAATTTTTCAAAGGGTTTATGATTTTAAAATGAACTTGGTAACACTAAAATAATACATACGCAGAAGATATGATGTGATTTTTCAAAATTTCTATTTCATTTGTCTATTGATTTTTTGCTAACTTAATTTTAGAATCACAGTTAAAAATTTAATTGAACTCGATGGAAATAAAAAAAATACCCATCTTTTGTGTCGAAATAGACATTATACTTTTCATTGAATTGTAATGCGGTTGAAGAAAAAATAAATATTCGGACATTTAATTTTATGATCTAAGTTTACATTTTGTACTTGACGTAATTAAACTCTTTTTTATATTAATATGCATCAAGTAGGTTGTAGTAGTTTAATTGATTCTTTAATTTAAAAACCGATTTACACAAAAAGTGTCATTAATAACATTCAGAACAAATGTAATAACATTCATAATGACAAAAACTTTTATGTTTGCTACTCTATGCTAATTACGTTGTTAATTTGAATTATTTTTGCTACCTGGGGTACACATTTATTTATCAAAATAATTTTTATGGAAGATTGAGTTTAGAATTGTTTGAGTTTTTGCATGGTTGCCACCTTAAAATAATACCTTTCAACGACTACTTTGATGCACATTAATGTGAAAACGAGTATAGTTTGTCAGTGACAAATTCTTATTTTTATGAAAAAATTGTACATTACAAGCGAGGTGGTAAATATGGCATTACCCGAATGCTTATGTATACGATCGAGAGGCGCCAGGATAAAGCACAAGGGGTTTGTATGCTATTTTATTCACAATCACATTATTTTTAGTCAAAAAATTGTAACAAAGTTAAGGTCCAAACGTGGTAGGTCATCCAAATGGCGTTGGATTTTTGATATTTCAAAATGTTAAAGAAAATCTTGAAATAATGTGTGGATCTGATTTAAAATCGTCGAAAAGGAGCAGTGTGCTCTCCCAGAAGTAAGAGAAACTGCTACAAAAGCAATTGAATACTAATTTAGCAAAATATTATGCGTAACTTGACAATTTAGAAGAAAAAATTCCCGGTGTTTTTGTAATTTTAACGTTGACTATCCTGCATATTACCGCCCAAGAGAAGTAATGTTATTACTTCTCATGAGATTTAATGATGTGTTTCCCAATCTTTAAAAGGTTAGTGTGATTGTGAATAAAAGTAGGTATTTACTTTTGTTTTGCAATTGAATTACTTTTATATTTCTATAAGTATTTATTGGTAATTAGGTACTTTACTATTTTTTAAACAGAATTTATGCAACCCTAACTATTAGAAATACAATATTTTAGGGATTAATTATTCTACCTACAACAATTTCAGTTTCATACTAAAAATGACTTAAGTTGAAAAAGACAAAACAACAATGAATTTTTTACCACTGGTTGAGAATTTTTAGTAAATAATTAGTGACAAACTGTTTTACGATTTAAAACGTTTCAATTCGATTTTCAATACGTTACTTACCGATTTTAAAAAATCCTTTGTTTAAATAAGTAGAAATTTATCGGCGGATCAATGAGCTAATTCGTCGCTTTTCTCATGTCTCGAGACTGCATCATGTTGTGTATGTAAAGAAAATTTCCGTGTTTATATTTTATCTTGTTTTCTTTCCACCACATGTCCTTATAAATGTTTAATATATCGGCATGAAATTGCACGCGTTCCGGGCAATTTCGGGCCGGACGAAGTGGTCAGTCAGCCAGCCGTTCTCTGCAATATTTCCGGGCCTCGCCATAAACAAGGGAGCCTTTATACCCGCCGTTAATTTAACGATACCACTTCAAATTATTGTTATTATATTTTACGACTCTACTCCACAATATTACATAAATATACTCGGACACCGTACTGGCAAGGCAAGTTATTGCATCCTATACATTTTTAGAAACTTGTCTGAAATTATTTTCATGTCTCGACGCACAGGGAGACGTTATTAAACGACTAATCGAAATTCTGTCGAAATATTTAGAGTCGGCTGTTATGGGAAGAGTTCCCTCGTCTATGATCAATATTCCGGAGGCGGCGGAGCGGCTTACTTGGAAAAAGTGTACAAAGAGTTTTACATTCTGTACAATTTGCAACGGAAGCGGAAACGTAGGTAGCTAGAGAGGATAGAGAAGAATAAGACGATGGCTGTGTAGCAAAGCAGTTTCCGGAGCAGTTTGTTGTTTATCTCCGGCACGTCCTAGCGAGACATAAAGCCGGTCCGGAATTAAAGAAAGGAATGGCCACACTTGTCCCACGAGTCTATAAACATGGCCACATAAATTTGATGCTCTGTACCGGCCGTCCTCCTGAATATTGATGTTACTAGCGCGCTATATCACTCGACAACCGCTTTCTGTACGAGGAAAAAACCCAAAGAAAACCTTTGTGCTGATAGATTCACA